TTACAAAATAAGGCCAATTCAAGTCGTTTCAATTTATTGTAGAGGTTTACTTTTCTTAATAACTCCTGCACAGTCTAGTGAGTTTATAAAGTCTCTGTAACAAAGACATCTCAATTTAGAGATGTGTTTTAATTTTGTTTTGATTTTTAAAATTTTATGCAAGAAGGTATCAGCCTAGGTGGTGCTTTGGAAAGGTAAACTTATCATCCCATCTTATTATTACTTCAAGCTGGCATGTGTGACTTTAACCTCAACCTGATTCTGCCAGTTTTCTTTATAAAGCAGCCAATTTTAGAAGCTGAGCTCATGCTAACTTCATTGAGTTGATGTCTGTGTGATTATGACTGGATAACAGTTGCTTGAAGTACTCAATGAGCAGCCTGAAAGCAGTCAAAACAGTAAGAAATTCAGCTTGCATGGATAGGCAAAGGTAGTGTAATAGTGTGGTAAATTCATAGGATCATAGGATAATTCAGGTTGGAAAAGACACCAAGAGATCATGTAATCCAACTGCTCTAAGCAGAGTAGGCTATGAGGTCAGACCAGGTTGCTCAGTGCTTTATCCAGTTGTCTGAACATTTCCACGCTCTTAAGCTGCAAGCTTGTTTGGGAATGTGTATTTGGAGATGGTTTTGGACTTTTGTTGGTTTTCTTTTTAAGGTTAAATTACTTGTTTTGGAAGTTTCTGAATTCACTTTTAGCTTTCTTTTCAACATATCGCTGTCTGAGAGATGGGAAGATGAGATTTGTGGAAGATACCATCTAGAGTTCAGATTTGGAAAAATCTCATTCCCTTTTTCAAAGGGAAGGTATTAAAGGGAAACCTGGATTTGCCTAGAAAATAGAAAAATAGGTTGGTTAAAGCCAGCTGGCTAATCTTGGTGGTTCTTAGTGAAACTTAATGTTTTTGGACATTGGGTAGTCTTGCTGTTTAGTTCCAGTTTGTATGAGATTACTAACATGGACTAATTGTATGTGCAGAAAGTGTCAGTAGTCTAAGCAGAAGGATGTCACTTCATTCAGGATTGTTTGGAGAAATCCAGCAGCTGGTAAACATGCTTTTCCTCCTTTCTTTATGTTACGACATGTTAATATGGTAAACGTAGCTCTTTGGAAGTGCTACGTAAATAGCAAAAATAGATGCTGAGAATTCTGAAGGATACTGAGATTTTCTCAAGATAGACGTCATCTTGCTTTCATGGCAGCCCAGCAGTTAAAAAAAATTAACTAGGTTTTCAGTTGCCTGGTTGGTAAACTCAAATAATATTTCATCTGAAATTTGCAAGCTGATTAGAGTGATGCAAAATCTTATATTTTTAATAGATTTTTAGTTCATTACTGTACTTGTAATGTTGGAATAACGGGTAGTCTTTATAATAATTAAGGTGGAGTTCAGATGATGTAGAAATAGGGCTTGGGGATTTATTTATTATATGCTTGTCAGCATTAATGTCTTGGAGATTTTTTGTACCTTCTGTTTGCTTCTAATCTTCAGATCTAATCCACGTTTTTTTCCTTACAGCAGGGTACTTCAGTGTATATATGGTTACTTGAAAAGTATGCTTGGTGCAGGTTTTTTTGGTGGGGTGGTAAGAACTTGGCTGTCTTATATGATGAAAGTGACTTTTAACTTTTGTTGGCAGTAGGCTGTAGGAACATGGGAATCTTGGGAGTCCTTCCCAAGAGCAGATGTATGGTTCAGATAGACTAATACCTCTTCTGAGTTGATAGTTGTTAACATACAGCAGATAGGAACATGGAAGACATCCTATGTTAGCCATCTACCCACATGGAGAGTTTCTTCCTAAGTATTGTGAACGGTAGCTTAGCTTAGTATTTTGTATTATGTCTGTGTATCCTTTTCAAATACATTAATGATAAAAATGTAGTTGATGGTGAAATTTGCAATTATGTTATTTACTTTCCTCTGATGTGAAACAGAACAGACAGGTGATGAATGTGCAATTACTTTACATTTTTAATTTGTTGCTGCTGTTAATTAATTTAATTTCTTATATGAAGCTGTAACATTAGTCCTTCTGTTTCTTCTATATATATGTCAGTAGTTTTGGTAATTTTTTTTCTTTTTTTTTCCCCTCTTTCCTTCTGGGTAGCAATTCCAGTTGTCTTCAAAGTCTTAGTTTTTAAATATGTTGTCTAACTGAACTGGCATCTTGGTAATACACCATTTGGCTGCTAGCTCCTCCTTTTCTTTCTAAATAGGTATGTCCTGGGCTGGCCTTTTTTTTTTTTTTTTTTTTTTTTCTTTTTTTTTTTTTTTCTTTTTAATAAGGCTTCCTATTGTTTCACATTAACTTTTTGAAAAATAGGAGAAGCATTCCAATTTTCTTGTTTTCCCTGAGACTAAAGGACGCAGGTCTCAATTGCACAAGATGCAGTCTAAAGTGGAGTCTGACACTGACAGCTTGCTTACAGATGTTAAAAGTTGCATTGCTTATTGGAGATGTGAGCTGTGTTGAAGCTACCACGTGTGGGCCTCTTCATAGGCAGAGAAGAGATCATTCTCTTGTTTTAGCAGCTGCAAGACAGCAGTGTGGGCCAGGCATTCTGGAGAAATCTTCTACTGCAGGTTTCGTCTTGTTTTGAAACTGAGGTGTCTAATACCCTGGAAAAACCTGTACCCATTCTGCTGCTTCCAATAGTTCCTGGTTTCTGTTCTTTAAATGTCTAATGAGAGCGTTTTTGCACCATTCTTGAAAGATCTATAAAATTTTCATATGGTTGATTTGCCAGACTTGCTCTGGGTATTCTAAAAGACATGTATTTTTCCATTGCCAAAAAGTGTATGATTTTGTTTCCCATTCAGTCAGTGAAGTATGTATTATGTTTGCTGTCCTCTTTTTCTGGCACGATGGCCTTTATTACCATTTTGTAGTATTTTTACCTTCTTCGTTGTATGGTTCATTCATTGTTCTCGTAATATTATACCCTATCTGAACTGTTTTTTGTTTGTTGCAGGTTTTTGTTCTAGTGGCAGTGCTTGTCTCTACTGTAGTGGGGAAAAATTGTCATGCTTTTCCTAGAAAATAAGTAATTTCTTTGCTTCAGTTTTCACCATAATATCTTTGGCTCTTCTGCCTCTTTAGTGCTTGCATTCAGTCTGTGGTGATCCTGAACACCTTTTTCTGAATTCCTGCCTAGGCAAGTAACTAGAGTTGTATTGATAATGCCTTTCAAAGTGTCCTTGTAGCTTAATTTCTTTTTTGTCTGTCATGAATTATTTTTTCCAACGTGCTGGCTTTCTACTTAACTGGTGGTTTTAAGTCATCTCCTGAACTCTTCTTAAAAAGTGATGTTGAATAGTTCTTCCCCTGTGCCATAGAAATGTACTTACTTCATACAGTAGCTTCTTTAACTGGAGGTGTTATGCTCTAACTTCCAAGGATTTAGTATGTGGCTGGTTTTCAGTTGGTTAGAAATAAATGTGTCAAATACAACTTAGAAAAGTAATTCAGTTTCCTAGCATAGATTCTGACCTATCTTGCGTACTGCAAAACCCAGTTGTGCTTTCATTCTTCTGTAATGGCTAGTCACTAGCTTAAATAAGAAATCCCGGATACAATAAAATACGTTTGATTTTTGTGTCGTTTACTTCTTAGCTATGAAAACTGGAAGTCTTCCTAGCTGTTTTTATATATGACAATGCAGATTTTAATGGTTAGGTGTTGGATGTGCTTTTCCATAGGTTATAATGGGTATAAAGTACTTACTCAGTGCTGGTATAGTTCAGATTAGTGTGAAAGTTTGCCTTTTGATAGTTGTTTTTGCTTAGTGGCAGTTCATTAAACATAGAAAAAGAATATGACAAATTAAATTAAGGATCAGACAACCTTGTAACGATATTTCTGTGTGAAATTTGGGGAACATATGTCACCATTCAAATTCTGAAATGTATTCCAAACTAAGCTAGATGAAAACTAGTATTTGTGAACCAGGGACAGTGAAGTCACTTCAATGGAAAACAGTGTAATTCAGTGACTTCTGCAGTGTGGAACCAAATCCAATACGTTGTAAGCCAGTTTAGTCTTCTCTGTTAATTAACTCTAATGCTGTCAACTTATGGGAACAGTACAATTTTCTTTTTCAATATATTTTGAAAAATAAAATATAGCTATATTTAAAATGTAACAGTTCAGGCATGGGCTTTGTGTGATGTTTTCTGTAAAAGCAATTGGGACTGCTGCAGAAAAAGTTAAATGAATTTCATTTTTAATTTATGATTTGTCTTCCTTTTAATGGTGGTTATGCTATCCCATGCTCTGAAGAGAGAAAAACTTTCTAGTTCACGTTTCTCAGTACAACAAACTTCAGCTCTGCCAATGAGACTATTTGAGTTTGTAATGTGTTCTTTAATTAACCTGAGTTTAAATAAAATGGGATTTCAGAAGGTTTACTTTTCAGCTCCATTATTGAGACACAGCTTCAAAATTATACTTTAACCATACTGGCACAAGGCAAACACTTAAAAGTGTGGTTAAACCACACTGTGCCAAATCAGACCCTGTTATTTTGACTGTTCAATTATCAAAATGCTTTCAATTCTCAAATTGCTTTAAGGATTTTCTCTCTCCAAATTTTTGTGAGTTTTTCCCCATTATTAGACTGAATGTGATGACAGATCAGTAGAGTAGTAGGGTTTTACCTTAAATCCAAGTCCCTTGGTTGGTAAAGGAACTTACTAGTAGCATGCTAGAAAGACTGCTGTTCTGTTGAAATTTTGACTTGCAAGATAGGTGGGGTTTACATTGTTTCACTTCTGTGAAGTCCCTTAAAAGTTAGCACTATCATTGTGTGTCTATGTGTGCACATACATATACAGCATGAGAGTATGTATTTATACATATAAATATATGAGAGCCTAAAGCTGTATAAACATGTCTTTAGAGTTAATTCTAGTTAATCATTTATTCCCAAATGACTTTTATCTGATCACTACAGCTGTGTTACTTTATGATATGTCTTTTCTGCAGACGCCAAAGATGCTAACGAGAAAGATTAAGCTTTGGGACATTAATGCCCATATAACCTGTCGTCTGTGCAATGGATACCTGATTGATGCTACTACTGTAACAGAATGCTTACATACTTGTAAGTAGAAGTATAATTAAGTTAAAGAAATCCTTTTTGTTTTGTTTTTTTCTTTAACTTGATGTACAGCATGTTTTAATGGTTTTTAGTTGAAATTTGGCATCAGCCAAAATAATGCATGCTTCACTAGACACTGCTTTTTTTAACAGATGATTTGCTTTTTAACAAAGCAAATGAAGAGAACATTAAAGCTGTACTGCACAAACTTGAAGCCATATACAATTAGTGGTAACATATGCATTCAAGAATGCAGTCTGTCTTCCTGCTAAAGGAATGTGGAATGCCTAGTTCTCTCTTCTGTGACAGCTGACAGAGCATATGCTCTCCACCTGGAGCCTTCCAAATGTCTCTTGCTCTCTTCTGCTGCAGAAAGCAGCCATAGTTTATTGATAAAAAATAAGTATATTGTATCGCACCCTAGAAATAAGCTTTTGTTCCAAAATATTGTGATGAGGCAGTTGTTTGTTGTTATGTTACTTTGTGAATTTCTAAGTACTTCTAAATTTGAAGTATGCCCTAGTACCTTGCAAAGCCTTAGGTTTCAAGAAAGCTCAAGGTGTAAGTCCACCCCAGCATCTTTGTTGTTGACATCATGGGATATAGGAGTGCTAGGTTTTGCAATATTCTGATGAAACCTTGCATATTAGCATGGTTCCAACTAAAGATCTGGAAAGATTCCTTCTGAGGAGGAGCACCCTTATAGTACAAAGTGGTAACTCCAAAACTATTCTCTGTCTTGAGTCTGTTCTGATCCTCAGTTTCCTTTGCCAAGGTAGGTATAAGCTGAGGAATTAACCTTCAGTCCCGAAGGCCTGCTGTGGCGACGTTTAAATAGCCTCTGTAGCAGCCGCGTTGATGGCTTTACACCTTACATTACAGGGTTTTACCAAAAGTACTTTTTTCTAGCTGTGTCTTCAGAATCCCTACAATTTACCAACACGTCCTTGTCATCCAGGAGTTTCCATTTGTCCAGTTTTATCTGTTCAGAGCTTAGAATATAATTTGTTTTCTTTATATGCACCTGTATTAATCTATTAAATAGTATTTGCCATGCAACTTCAAACATTTGATGTTTTCAAATGCTTTTGTCACAGTATTTACTCTTTTTCTGATAAAGCTACTATGTTGTTTGAATAGCTTAATGACCCACAGTCCTGAACTTTGTTGGAGGGTAATTTCTTGGTGGCAGTGGCTTCATCTCCACAAAATGAAAGTTTCAGCAGATTTATTCGTCACCTAAAATGTCTTATGAAGGGGAAATACAATGCTCATGATTTATCAGAGATTACATTTTCCATTGTATTTCACTTAGAAGTTCTGTTCATCAGCTTTAATGAGTTTGTTGTTCTTGTCATGCTTCCATGTCACTTTGGTTATTCTCATGTCCCTTCTGCATCTGTTTCACATTTTAATTTCCACAGTGTTCTTTCTGAAGTGTAGAGATCCTTAAGCTAGGCTTCTACCTAGTTTTGCCCCAAATTCTTTACTGCTGCTATTAAACAAGATTATATACAAAACAGTATTATAACGAGTTAACGTGGCTGACATAGAACTAGGGCGTCATTTTTTTTGTTCTTAAAAAAAAAAACAAACCAAACCTCATACCCACAAAAACCCTTCAGCAGACATCATGTCCACCATTTCTTACATTTGTGTATGGAGGAAATGTTTAGATTAATCCACAGTGCTTCAGTGCGTGCTTCAGAAGCTCCCCTCCGCCTGCCCCTTGTGGCTTGTCCCTCCCTTATTTTGGCTGTTTTATATTTTCAGAATACTACTTCAATGTGTGTCCTGTAGAATTAGTTTTCTGACAAGAAGCACATAGTCCTTTCTTTTTAAAAAACTTTATGCATGTTGGCATTATTTGTATTCTATATGTTAATGCTAATAATATACATTCCTGGAAAAGCATCCTTGCAAAATCTATCCTGAAAGTGCCCTGTCTGAGATAGAGAATTCTCTGCTGAATTACACCATCTTGAAATGTTCTTTCTGTTTCTACTCAGAACTGCACAGTTTTCATATCTTTTTCATTTTTCTCTAATTTCCTGTCCTTCAGACACTTGGAGACTCTTCACTTCAGTAGTAAATGTAATTCTTGAGTCCTTCGGTGAGGGACATTTGGAGGACCAAGGCCAGTCCTTTGGAGGGATAGGGCCAACTTCATTTGTAAAACGGAATTCAAAAAAACAAGCATTTTTCTCCCTTTCCTACTTGTTTCTCTGCCATATCTTTAGTTTGTTGGTGACAGTCAGGCCTATAGATAAAAACTTGATTAGTAGTAACTCAGTGTTAAGTCTTTCTTAGTTTACATCTGTTTCTTGATTAGAATTCTAGGTTAGCAGATACATGCAGGTCTTGTTAAACCTTTACATTCGTAATTTGATTTTCATTAGTGTTTATGTGTGAAAGCTGTCCTCGTATGTTATGAAAGGGAAAGCCTCATATGTTATGAAAGGTATTATTTTGTGGGTTCATGAGGACAATGAAAGGGCAACTGTATTTCCAGAACTAGACATGGAAATTAAAAAGTCAAGAGGCATGAAACTGGGGGGGGGAGGAAAGGAGGGAAGTGAGTGAGGATTAATCTTGCTTATTCTTTCTCTAATGAAAGTTCTCTGATATGGTTTAAGTGTACTGTAAAAGTAACTGGAAAATGTACAGCTCAGTTCAGACATACAGTCAGTGCCCAAGTATCTGGATAAATGGAGATTAGAGACTTTGGAAATCCCAGCTAATGGGAAAACTCTAGTAATGCTATTGTTTCAGACCCTAGAATGGTTCCCATATTGGCTGCCCCATATTCCTAGGACTTACAGTTTTAGGAGAGTTTACTAATCCCAACCTGACCCTGTGAAAAAAGAACCAATCTAGAATAATGCAGCACCCTCCATAAGCTATCTAGTTACATTTAATTGGATGCTGTGCTTAGACTAATAAACCTGCCAGAACCTGAGCCACCTTGTGATGAGTTCAGTTTAGGAGGAGTTCATGTATACTTAGTCCAAACTGGAAGTTGTACTGAAATAGGAGATTGTTTTAGAAGGTATCATAGAATGGTTTGGGTTGGAAGGTACCAGTGTTTCACCACCCTCATTGTGAAAGGTTTCTTCCTTCTATCTAGTCTGAATCTACCCTCTCTTAGTTTAAGACCATTACCCCTTGTCCTGTCGCTACAGGGCCTGTTAAAAAGTCTGTCCCCATCTTTCTTATAAGCCCCATTTCAGTATTGAAACGCCACAATGGGGACTACCAGAGATGTCTCTTCTCCAGGCCAAAGAACCCCAACTCTTTCAGCCCTTCTTCACAGGAGAGGTGTTCCATCCCTCTGATCATTTTTGTGGCCCTCCTCTGGACCTGCTCTAACTGGTCCATGTCTTTCTTGTACTGAGGACGCCAGAACTGAATGCAGTACTTCAGGGGGTCTGACCAGAGCAGAATAGAAGGGCAGAATCACTTCCCTTGATCTGCTGTCTACGTTTCCTTTTATGCAGCCCAGGATATGGTTGGCTTTCTAGATTGCAGGTGCACATTGTTGGCTCATGTCCAACTTTTCATCCACCAGTACCCCCAAGTCCTTTTCTGCAGGGCTGTTCTCAATCCCTTCATCCCCCAGCCTGTATTGATACTGGGGGTTGCCCCAACCCAGGTGTAGGACCTTGCACTTGGCCTTGTTGAACCTCATGAGATTTCACACAGGCCCACTTCTTGAGCTTGTCCAGGTCCCTCTGGATGGCATCCTGTCCCTCAGGCATGACAACTGCACCAGACAGCTTGGTGACAACTGCACCAGACAGCTTGGTGTCACCTGCAAACTTGCTGAGGGTGCACGTGATCCCACTGTCTATGTCACTGATGAAGGTACTAAACAGTACTGGTCCCAGTATGGACCCCTGAGGGACACCACTTGTCACTGATCTCCATCCAGACATTGAGCTGTTGACCACTATTCTCTGGCTGTGACCATCCAGCCAATTCCTTATCCACTGAATAGTCCGTCCATCAAATCCATATCTCTCCAATTTAGAGAGAAGGATGTTCTGGGGGGCCATGTCAAAGGCCTTACAGAAGTCCAGACAGATGACATCAGTAGCTCTTCCCTTGTCCACTGATGCAGTCGCTCCATCGTAGAAGGCCACTTGGCTGGTGAGGCAAGATTTGCCCTTGGTGAATCCATGCTGGCTGTCTTGAATCACTTCCCTGTCCTCCATGTGCCTTAGCATAGCTTCTATGAGGATCTATTCTCTGATCTTCCCAGGCACAGAGGTGAGCCTGACAGGTTGGTAGTTCCCAGGGTCCTCCTTTCTATTCTTTATAAAAATGGGTGCAATGTTTCCCGTTTTCCAGTCACCAGGGACTTCACCTGACTGCCATGACTATTGTGGAGAGTGGCTTGGCAACTATGTCAGCCAGTTCCCTCAGGACTCTGTGATGCATCTCATCAGGTCCCATAGACTTACATATGTTCAGGTTCCTCAGGTGTTCATGAACCCGATCTTCTGTTACAGTGGGAGAGACTTTGCTCCCCCAGTCCCTGCCTTGAGGTTCATCCACTCAAGAGGTGTGGGAAGAGAGATTTTCAGTGAAGACTGAGGCAAAAAAGTTGTTGAGTACCTCAACCTTTTCTTTGTCTGTTGTTACCAGTTTGCCAGTTTTGTTCATTGGGGGTGTACGCTTTCTTTGACCTTTTCTGGCTGACGTACCTATAGAAGCCCTTATTATTCTATGCATCCCCTGCTAAGTTCAGCTCCAGCTGCGCCTTGGCCTTCCTGACACCAACCCTACACAACCAGGCAATGTCCCTTATTCTTCCCAGGATACCAGTCCCTGCTTCCACTGTCAGGTTCTTCTTTCATTGACTCGGTAAGACTGGGGTTTGGCTTCACTTTTGCAAATGGATCTACTGCTCTGGTGTTCCACTGGAACAGACTGCTGTGCAAGATCTGTGCTTGGTGTGCAAAACTATGAGGCTTGTTCTAACCATAACCTCTACCAGCAACAGTACTGTCACCCTAACTGTGTAAATACAACACAGAATGCAAACTTCCTACGCTTCATTTGCTGCTGCGTAATTTTTTTGGTGTTAACACGTGTTTATTTAATTGTACTATCATGTTGTCTGAGAGGTAGATGACAGAAATTGGTAGATGGTAGTTACAGAAATTCTTTTATGTGTTAAGAACTAGTGCGTTAATACCAAGATTAAATGAACTGCTGCTGTTTAAGAAAAAGCTTTCCCCTGCCGCCTCCCTCCCCACCCCC